ACACACACACACACACACACACAGAGACAGTATACGCTCTGTGATCCGCTGTCTATCACAGTGTGTGTTTGTGCGCAGGAGCTGCGAGAGCGTCTGCAGTCTGCGCAGTCTTCAGTGCAGCAGCTGCGCAGGCAGCAGGGGGAGGCGGAGTCAGGCCGACGGGAGGCGGAGCTCCGTGTGCAGACGCTGCAGGGCGAGAGAGACGAGGCTCAGAGAGAGAGAGAGACCGCTGTGAGAGATCGAGACCGACTGAGACAGGAGAGAGACACGCTGAGCAGGTGAGACACGTCACACGACCTGTCAATCAACCTGAGTCATGTGACCAGTGACCGGACCTGTCTGTCTCTCTGTCAGTGAGAAGGACACGGCGGATAAGACTGCGCAGGGTTCGCAGACGCAAATGCAGGTGCTGCAGCTGGAGTGTGACAGGCTGCAGCTGGCCATCACGTCTGCGCAGAGAGAGCGCGAACACGAGCGAGAAGAGAGAGACACCACCGCGCTGGAGAGAGACCGAGCCCGATCAGAGACGGACAGACTGTGAGTCTGACGCGTGTTTGTGTTTGAGCGAAGCGCGAGTGTGTGACGTGTTACTGACGTGTGTGAGTGTGTGTCAGTCAGCAGCTGTGGGAGGAGTCCGAGCGTCGCACGTCTTCACTGCGCGCTGAACTGGCGGCGCTGAGGGAATCTATCCAGCAGGGGGCGACAGACCGACAGCTGATGCAGGCTGAGAACAGACAGCTGAGCGAGGCGCTCAACAGGGTCAGACACACACAAAAGCATTGTTCGCCAACTATGGTCACAAGTTCCTTAGTTACCAACATAATACTGAATGTTGAGAAAAGCACTATATAAATGCATTGAATTGTTATAATATTTTATTGTTATTACTTTACTTACTTTAGTGTAATATTTTTATTTAGTGATTATAAGCATAATAAAAGTAATTATAATTATTATTTTGTATTTTTTGTGATTTGGCTACAAACAAGCACAACGAACCTCTTGTTTAAGTTGCATTTAAAATTTTTATCAGAAAAATCACAATTATTATTTCGCCCAGATCATGCAGCCCTACTCTGCAGTATGTATATAATAGTAATATTTCTTAATTTGTGTACAATTTTTATTTAGCAATATAAAAACACAATAATAATAATTATTATTATTATTATGATTATTAATGTCATGATATAGTCGTATTATAGGAGGAGCAAACTTGGCTCAATTTTAGTCCGAATTAGTTTTCCCCAAATATTCTCTAGTATGCATACTTCATATGTGGTGATTGACGTGTGTGTGTGCAGAGCGGGAGCAGTCATGCTGAACTCTCTCTAGTGCTCACCAAGCTTAACTCGGAGGAGTCGTCACTCAGAGATTCTCTCGCAAAGATGAGCGGCATTAACGAGAGTCTCGCGCAGGACAAATCTGACCTCAACAGCCTCATCATACAGGTACCAGACTCACACAATTATGCACACGTACATTTAACTGAAGTTTCACAGTATACTAAACATGAAGTGATTTTTGTCAGGGTTTGTTTGGATCATATTACTGGTTAATATTATTTGTATAGTATTTATAGAGAGTAAAGGTGTTTCAGTGACAAATTAACCAACGATATTGGTCTACTTAATGAGTGACAGCTGGAGGAGGAAAAGAATGCATTGCTGTCTCAGCGAAGAGAAGCAGAACAAGAGAAACTGACCATCAGAGATGAGCTGGTCCGCTCCGAGCAGGACCGACTGGAGCTGGACTCTCTCCGTCTTGCTCTCCACCAATCACTGCAGGAGTCTGAGCTGGCCAGGGCGGGGTTGGAGGCGGAGCTTCAGTCGCTGCAGGCAGACAGAGCCAAACTCCAGGACAGAATCACACAGGTGACAGTCTCTCTCACTCTCTCTCTCTCCATCTGTCCCTCAGTGCCTTATAAACTGTTTCTGATGTGCTGCTGTCAATCAAACAGCTGATTGGTGAGGTGGGTGGTTTGGAGGCGGAGCTCGCTTCTGTCCGCGGTGAAGGAGACAGGCAGAGCGCCGCTCTCGAGGAGGCGGTGTGTGGGCGAGCGGAGCTAGTGCGAGAGAGGGCGGGGCTTCTGGTTCAGCTGACGGCGTCAGAGAGAGAGAATGCCGCCCTGACGGAGGAACTCGCCGCCTTCAGGTGAGACCGAACATGTATGTGTCATGATGTTAGTGTGTTAATATATGCATGTGTGTTTCATTAACTGAGTGTGTGCAGGATGGAACGGGAGAGTCTGGAGACGAGTCTGTTCGAGCTGCAGCAGCAGATAAATCAGATCGAGTGTCGATGCGAACAGCTGGAGTCAGAGAACCAAAACCTGAGACTGCGCACTGACAGCATGATGGGTAATTGAGAGAGAGACGGGTG